CCCTCTCCCCCTCTCTCTCTCTCTTACTGATTGTTTTTCTAGTATACTGGAGATCTCCTCAGGCTTTATCCGTGGGCCACATTGCCAGCCACCCTTTCTCTTTTAGGACACCTGTGGTTTCATCTTGTCCTCTCAGTAATCCAAGAGAAAGCCCATGTATAGAATCCATGTTGATATACAAGTTACATAGGTATAGTTCTAGAGACTGTTGGTCTCTAGTGACCATTTTCTCTGGTGACAATATCTGAAGTAGCTGATACATTGTTGAGGATAGGTTGTGATAGGGTAAAACTGTATTTGCAAGTAAAATATTGTGGGAGTGAAGTACTGGCCAGCACTACTGTTAAGCCTCCTGTGTACTCGTGCCTGTTAGAGAGGTTTGTAGCCTCCTGTGTGCTCGTGCCTGTTAGGTTTGAGGGAAGCATGGTATCAGTGGATGGCTGATACACATAGAGATGCCATTTTGGTTTCTAAGGTAACTTCTGATAGCTTTTGGAAGTTTGAGTGGGGCGGTGTGATCTTTTCCATGTAAAGAGCTTGGAAAGAGCATTGGATGTGTAGCCTGGTCACATGGGGAACAAACCCGGAAACAGAATTATTGCCAACTGATCAATCCCGTGCTTTTGCCTTAGCCCATGTAATCAGGGAATTTGGCTTTGGATTGCTGGGTTACTATGCTAGATGGGAAGAGAATAGTTGTTAGAGGAATAATAATTTTACAAAACACTAATAAATACCTATTTTCTGTAAACGTATTTAAGTTAATGTAATAATGGAATTTTAGAGTTTAATTTCTACTTTCTTGCCAGAGAGACACATTAGCAAGTAAGCTTATCCGAAAGAAACCACTCTATTAATCTCTTTGGTAAAACCAATCGTATTTAGGTAGAAACTCTCTGTTTTGAATAGAAATAAATTTATCGTTCATTAAAAGATTAAAGGGTACATTTTCTATACTCTTAATCAAGTTCTATCGTAAGGAAGTCCCTGGAGTACAAGAGACCTAACAACTCACTTTCTTTTCATACTTGAGGACGTTTGCTTCTTCATGATTGCTTTCTGCTCTTTTTCTCCTCTTCCTTCCTCCCCTTCCTCCCTCCCTCCCTCCCTCCCTCCCTCCCTCCCTCCCTCCCTCCCTCTCTCCTTCCCTTTCTTTTTCCCTGCTTCCTTCCCTCCTTCTCTCCTTCCTTCTCTCCCTTCTTCCCTCCCTCCTTCCCTCCTTCCCTCCTTCTCTCCTTCCCTCCCTCCCTTCTCTCCCTTCTTTCTTCTCTCCCTCCCTCTCTTCCTTTTCCCCCCTTCTTTTCCTATACTATTTTCTTATATGTATACTGTGTTCTTACTGCATAGCCCATCCTGGCCTCCACCTTGCTGTGCACATAACCCATTCTGCTAACTCTTGATGTTCAAGATGGATTTGTTGTAAGAAAAGTGTGAATTACAAGTGAACAGCTTTCTGAAGAGAATTCTTTTGAATTTGTGGTTTTGTTGTCAAATTATTATGGAACTTTGGATAAGGACTTGTAAATGATATGCTTCAGATTTTACATAAATAAATTGCAGGTGGATCTGAGCTTCTCTCACGGTGTTGTAGAAACTTGGTGTGTAGGAACTTTGTTGATAATCCGAGTTACCTGGCAGAATTTGTACCTTTTATAAAGTTGACTTAGTTCTTTGATAATACTAACATTGATTGGAAAACTAGTGCTTGGGATGATTGATCAAGTGTTTTCTTTTCCAAGGACTCCACTCGGAATCTGCGACAAGTGGATCAGATGCTTGGGCGGTATCGAGAGTACAGCACTGGACATGCGGGCGCTGTCGGGCAGGTGAGAAGGTTCCAGCTGTTTGCACTGTTGCTCACCATGTGCAAATGTGTACTTAGGGGAGTGGGTGTACTTAGGGGAGTGGGTGTACTTAGGGGAGTGGGTGTACTTAGGGGAGTGGGTGTATAAGTAAGAAAAGTAGATATCGATGTTAGTAAGTATACATTTGAAACTGCCTCGCTGGGGCTGCAGAGATGGCTCAGTGGTTAAGAGCACTGTCTGCTCTTCCAAAGAAGTTGAATTCAAGTGGGAAATCTGAGTTTGTTTACTAAGCTTAAACTGAAAACTGTAAGGCAGTTTTATTTAATTTTATTTTTTGTGCATTGACATGAGGGTGTCAGATCCCTTGGAACTGGAGTTATAGACAGATGTGTATGCATGTGGGTACTGGGAACTGAACTCAGGTCCTCTGGAAATGCATCAGGTGGTCTTAACTACAGAGCCATCTCTTCAACCCTATGTTCATTATTTTTAAAAAGGAAAACTTTCAAGTTGTACTCCACAGAGATAACATTTTGATAATTATGTGTATGCCATTCCAAATGCTTTGCCTACTTTTATGTGCATATAGCTCATTGCTTTAAAAAGTGGGACAGCATAACATCTGCATGTTTTCTGCTCTTTTACTGTCCACACAACTTCGTGTAGGTGGCCAACTCTGACTGCTTGGCTTAACTGTCAGCCTGATACAACCTAGGAGGAGCATCTCAGCGTGGGGCTGCCTAGATCAGGTTGGACTATAGGTTCACCTGTGTGGATTGTCTAGTCTTAATTGATACGGAAAGGTCCAACCCACTGCAGGCAGCACCACTTCGTGGACTTGACTTTCTGGGGTATATAAGAGAGGGAAAAGGAAAAGCCCCTGAGTGCGAGCAAGCAAATGTGTTTGCACCTAGGTATTTCTCTGCTCTTGACTGTAGTTGTCATGTGACTGGCTGCTTCAAACTCCTGCTGCTTTAACTTCCATGTAATAATGGCCTCTAACAGCATTTCTCAACCTGTGGGCCATAACCCCCTTGGGTGTTGAATGCCCCTTTGATAGAGGTCACATAAGACCATCAGAAAACACAGATATTTATACAATGATTCATATAGGAGCAAAATTATAGTTATAAAATAGCAATGAAAATCATTTTATGGTTGGGGGCTTCCACAACATGAGGAATTTTATTAAAGGGTCTCCATATTAGGAAGGTTGAGAGCTATCGGCCTATAATCTGGAATTGTTAGCTAAATTAAACCATATATATATATATACATATATATATATATATATATATACATATATATATATGTATATATATATATGTATTTGAGTTAGGATATTTTATTATAGCTTATAATATTCTGTAGTTTGTATGTTTTCCCTTTAATATGAATGTATAATAGTGACTCTTAATTGAATTGAATTTATCTATCTCAATCTCTTTCTCTGTATTTGTGTAATTGTGGGACTTATGGAAATAAAAGTAATAGGTTAATGAGTATTTCTTAAAGGTTTGCTAGATATTTCAAAATTGCCTTTTCAATGCCAATTTATGTTTGGCTCAGATGCAGTGAAAGAAGCACAGATTTCAAGAGGAAATTTATCACTTTTGTTAACATTTTGCTAGATTCTCTATGCTTCTTGAGGGAGATGGCGTGTAAGGTAAATAGGTGTTTACTAGCCTGTGAACCCTAACCCCAGCCCACTAGCTTCTTGTGAATCTGCACAGTCACCTTTGGGAACCCACTTAAATGTCTGCCTTCTTTATGAAGGAGTAGCATTTACATTGTAAGAAGAAGGATTTACATTATACAGTAATGGTTTCTGTATCTTTGTGCTGTATCAGTCGTCACATACATCTCAAGCTGTGATTGATGACTTGCCTTCCTCTTGCAAAGCAGAACCATAGTTGTTATTATTTGCTTGTGATTGAAAACTAATTGAGCAGAAGGAAGCAGGGCTTCTCTGCAAAGGTCTGTACTACTTTCCCTTAGCGAGTAAGTGTGGGCATTTCTGCACCTACAGGATTTTTATGATTTATGATGTGTTTGAAAGACCCAGCTGTAGACTTCGTGTGTGTAGGTAGCCCATAAACCGTTTTAGGTTACTTTATTAATAATAGATATTTCTCCTTTTTAATTTATTTGTGAAAAACTGGAACATTATTATTCACTAGAAACAGAAAACAGGAAGCAGAAAACGTGGTGGCAGCCAGAGTTAGACACTGAATTCTGTGGAGTGACTGTTCAACCTTACAGGGTTTCTTTCCAGCCACTTGTAGAAAAAAAGACCTAGAAGGGCAGAGCCTTTTTGCCTACGTTTGTTCCTTAGCCTGGTCCAGTTTTCCCTCTCTGCCTTCCTTAAGCTCTTGTTCTGTTCTGACAATTGTGGTTGGTGACTTGTCATTCTGACATGTCCGTGGATCATGACAATAATTGCTATATGTTTGAGCTAGTCAGGATAGCAATGATTTTTTTTCCTTCCTTCCTTCCTTCCTTCCTTCCTTCCTTCCTTCCTTCCTTCCTTCCTTCCTCCCTCCCTCCCTCCCTCCCTCCCTCCCTCCTTTCCTCCCTCCTTCTCTCCCTCCTTCCCTTCCTCTCTGTCTCTTTCTCTCTGTCTTTCTGTCTCTCTCTCTCTCTTTCTTTTTTTCTTTCTTTCTTTTAAACTTTTTGTCAACAAATAAACAAAACCCAAACCAAAACATCAGAAAAACCTCAAATAAAATATTCTATCTCTATCCTTTCTTGGCCCTGTCTTTTATTTTTAATTCCATTTATTGGGGTTTTTACTGGGTATTTTTATTTATAATCTTCAAGTTCTTAAAGCACATGGCAAAATTGTCCATCTTTAAAACAACCAAATTACTGTGTTGTGTTTGTGGATATGTGTAACTTTGTATGTGTAAGGGTACATGTATGTGTGTGCACGAATGTGCACATGTAAGCTTGAGGTCATCCTTGAGTGTTGTTTCTCAGGAGGTATCTATCATTTTGAGACAAGGTCTCTCACTGGGACCTGGGACACACTGCTTATCCTAGGCTGGCTGGCCGGTGAGCCTCAGGAATACCTGTCCCCATTTCTCCAGGTTGAAATTACAGTTAGGAGCCACCACACCTTGCTTTTTATGTGGGTGCTGGGGATTGGACTCCGGTTCTGATGCTTGGATGGCAAGTACCTTAGCAACTGAGCTACTTCTCTATCCTCACTGCCCATGTCCTTTTTTTTTTTTTTAAAAAAAAAATTACATTTTATTGGGGCTGGAGAGATGGCTCAGTGGTCAAGAGCACCAATGTTCTAAAGAGGACCTGAGTTCAGTGCTCAGCACCCACATGGTAGCTCATAACTATCTATAACTACTGTTGCAGGGGACCTGATGCCCTTGTCTGGCCTTTGTGGGCAGCAGGCAGGCACATGGTGCACATACCTGTAGGCAGAACAGTCATACCCCTAAAATAAAAGTAAATCTTTAAAAGAATTGCATTTTATTTGTTCATTGTGTGTGTGTGTGTGTTTGTGTGTGTGTGTGTGTGTGTGTATGGATATGTATACATCTGCTTGTGTACTCATGTGTATACATGCCTTAATATGTGTGTTGAGATCAAGACAATTTGCAGGAACAGTTATTTCCTTTTACTGTTGTGGTTCAGGGGATTGACTTGGGTTATCATGAGGTTGGCAATAAGTGCTTTTACTGTCTGAGCTATCTTACCAGCCCCTAGAATATGCTTTTTAATTTATGTATGCTTTAAAATAGAATAATGTATTTTAGACAGTGATAACTCAACTGTTAAGAAAATTTCACCATGATGAATATCCATTGCCTACTTGAATTAGCATTTTCCTCTTAAAATATAAAGAGACTTCTTAGAAAACCGAATCAACTCTTTTGCCATAGGAAAGACAGGGGCTTTTGTTGTTAACTTAGATTTTATAAATGACTATTTTTAATCCTCAGTACATGGATATGTCAGTTGTCTGTTTGAATATTTATTTGTTGGTGGCTTCACTCTGTGACTATAATTTATCATTGGATAAGGGGAACAGCTTGAAAGTATGAATATCTGCTGTGGTGTTTTCCTCCTGAGTTGATTTTCACCTAACAAAGCAACTACAATAGATATTCCCGTGGACTGTAAAACCTGCTGGTTGTGATCTTGTTAGGTTCTTTTAGGCTCTCGGTCTCGGAATACTCTGTGTTTTACTATTGTTCCCTCAACTTTCTATAACCTGCAACCTAAGGTTACTGTTTATTTCACTTTAACTTTTTATTAGCATACATTAATTTACGTCGTGTTGGATTCCTTCATGTCGTTATCACACAGAGTTGTACTTTGATCATACTCAGCCCATCCCCCACTGCTGCCTTTCTGGTCCCTACCATTAATTCTGCTCTACTTTTCTCAAGGAGCTCCCAATCATGTCACTCATCTTTCTGAGTCTGGCTTAATTTGCTTGTCGTAATGATCTCCATTTCCCTGCAAATGATATGGCTTCATTTTTCTTTGTGGCTGAATTCTATTCCATTGCATGCATATATATACACACATGTCTATATACACACTCATTTCTGCTGTATGTCACATTTTTCCGACCATCTGTTGGTGGGTGCTGGGCTGGCTCCATGCTTTGGCTATCATCAGTCATATAAACAAGCAAGGCTGTGCAGGCATCTCTGTGGTAAGCTGCCTTTGATTCCTGTATCCAACCCTAAGTTTAATTCTTTATTTATTACCTCTGAAGGCCTTGGATGGGTCATGTAGAGAATTGTGAAGTCTCTGGTTTTAATGCAGGAGCAATGCCTAACTTTCTATAGTCTTTTCAGGGATTTCCCTATTACTTTAGGTTTTAAATGTTGTTTTCTTACAATGCTGTAAGAAATAGTGTATATATTTTCATTTTTAAGATAAGAAAACTGGATCACAGACTGGTCATTCACTTGCCTGTGGTCTTTTAAGTGACATCTTCAACAGTAGGGTACATTTTAGAACCTAGCATCAGGATTCAGTTACTCCACTGA